TTTAATGTCGTTTCATGTTACTTAATTTAATTTAATGTTGTATAAATGGCCTAGGAAGTTATAGGAAAAAAATAGAATTGAAAAAAAATATGAAACAAATTTTGTGAAATAGAAGTTATATGAAAAAAAAATATGAATCAAATTTTGTGAAATAGAAGTTATATGAAAAAAAAATATGAATCAAATTTTGTAAAATAGAAGTTATATGAAAAAAAATATGAATCAAATTTTGTAAAATAGAAGTTATAGGAAAAAAATAGAATTTAAAAAAAATTGAAACAAATTTTGTGAAATAGAAGCTATAGGAAAAAAAATGGAATTTAAAAAAAATGAAACAAATTTTGTAAAATATAAGTTATAGGAAAAAAATGGAATTTAAAAAAAATGAAACAAATTTTGTAAAATAGAAGTTATAGGAAAAAAATGGAATTTAAAAAAAATTGAAACAAATTTTGTAAAATAGAATTGAAAAAAAATATGAAACAAAATTTGATTCATATGAAAAGGAAAAAAAAGGGAAAAAAAGAAGTTTACATTCATATAAAAAATAATAATAAAGTTAATACAACGGCTACTAGCCGTTGTATTAAAAAAAATTCAAACTATTAGTGTCAATATTAACCGACACTAATAGTAATTAAAAAAAAATTTTGCCTTTGAATAACTATTACTGTCGGTTATAACCGACAGCAATAGAAAAACTATAAAAAAAAATAGCCAGCCCCTTTGGTCTAGCCCTCGGTTGGAGACGGTTTTAGGGTTATTTTCGGCCCTCTAGCCCTCTGGACCCTTCAGTTGGAGATGGCCTAACATTTTCATTAAATAGTGGGTGAGGAAATAAGACACCTGGGTGGGAAAATCACCACTCTTTAAAGAATAAGTCTAACCATGAGCTAACACATCGTGTGATCTGTAAAATATGATTCAAGTAGTTGGTTTCTATAACATCTCTCTCATATCCCATGTTAAATTAATCAATCGAATGGGAATAAAAACTTCTTGGGTCTTGAACGATGAATGAGTAGCTTAGAATCAAGTTTGTAATATGCGACATTAATTACACACAAAAATGGGTCGCAATAGAAATGTGTCCAAGACGTACATTGCTAGCTTCCTCTATAAAGAATTTGTACTTAGTAGAATCCCATTCTGAGATTTCTACCGGACCAACATGTGACTTCAGAATGTACCTACCTAACTGTCATGTCTCACTTCTAAGACATGGCAAAAAACAAACCAACAGGTCAATAATGTAGTAACTTCTCTTTTATCACACGGATGCATCTAACCTTTATGTCTCATGTACTCAAAGACGGGATTAAGCCATTTGTAGTTCACATTTCTTGTAAGTTTTAAAATTTCTCAAGGCATTAAATGGCAAGAAACATAGATGGGACTTAACAAGCATGGCTCACTAGATTCCAGGCTACTTAAGGCAACAATTTCACAACCAGGATTGTCATTTCGTCAATCACATATATCACAATGTTTTCCAACATAATTCCAAAATTATAGCAAATAATTGGTTCAATGACTTAAAGATGCATGGTTAGTGGTTACATTAATTAACCAACAAGATCAAGTATCAATTCATGAAATTTAATAGAACAAATATATGCATATCCCTACTTGGATTCAAGCAATATTGTAACCCTAATTTACAAACACAAATGTCTACCTTGAGCAATTTCTATTCACAAGAATCTAGGGTTTCTGATTAATTCAACGAAACCGAACAAGAGATGGGATTCTAGACCACTCAACCACTCGTCATCGCTAATTTTCAAGCACTATCTTACTTCAGTAGCATGCACCCATCCGATTATACCCTTAAAGTGCGTATAGTTCGCCGTTGCGAATGTACCAAGCAAAAGCATATGCATAACCTAAAATAGTGTAAGGCATGATACACCAAAGCAAGCATGACTACCCTTAGAATGCATATAGTTTCCCATCACGGATATACCGAGCAGAGCCATAGAATAATCTAATAATCAAGTAGAAAGCAATGAATACACACTCCCATCACCTGATTACCAAGCAATGATCACAATTGTTGATAACCAAAGAACACCCATCCTATAATAATAGGATTAGTAGTCGACCAGAGAAAATACAGATAATATCAAGCATAGATCGAATAGAATATATCTAAAATGGCATCGCCCAATCGCGGATTAATTAAGCATAACCATAGGCATAACTTAATTGTGTAGATAGTGATCACTCATTGTAGATATATCAAGGATGATCACCCCTAGACATATGGTCCTCCAATGCAAATTAACTAGGCGGAACCATAGGCACGCTTTTAATAGTGTAGGCTCCCAATGCGGTTTAACCAGGCGGGACCACCTATGAAGGTAATGTAACTAAGTAGGCAATGACCCCTCAAAGTGGATTAACCTGGCAGAGTCACTTCTAAAATATGTACGGTCCCCCAATGCAGATTAACCTAGTTGGACCATAGGCATGCCTCTAATAGTGTGGTCTTCCAATGCGGATTAACCAGGTGGAACCACCTATGTATCACACTACTACATAGTGGTACGTGCATTAACAACATCCTCCACAAAACACATCATATCTCTTACATCAACACCTATGATTTACAATGTGAGTATGTACATTATCCATTTCACATGAAAACTAAATCTTGTCATACAGACACACAAGTTCTACATAATACTTCTAATATGATTTCTAGCTCATCTATTCATACTAGCAATCACCAAATCAACATATCACAGAAGTTAACATAAATGTCTCAGCAAACCAAGGAATATATCCCTAGGATAGCCGCTGATTGGGTAGGTCCTGAGAAAACCCAGCAAAGCTGGAGCTCCTATTTATAGAAGTACAAATGACAAAAATGTGTCTACCTTGGCTTGCTTATTCCTCATTTTTTATAAAAATTGATTCGTGGGATCGAAACTCTAAATTCCAAAATAACAAGTGTGACCCAAACCTACGAATTTTTATTAAGGTAATTAACTGCAATTAATAGATCCAAAATATTTAAAAAAATGTGGAATGAGACCCATAAAAATCCCCTATATTTTATATAAAAAAAAATGGATCCCTTATACCTTAGCCATAAAAAAAAAAATTAAAAAATAAATAAAAACTTAAAATAAAATTATAAAAAAAAAATAAGAAAAATTAAATTAAAAAAAAAAATATTAAATAAATATAGATGACCATTAAGGGATCCTATTATCTGAAAAAATAGAAAGCTTCTTCAGAATAGAATTAATATATATATATATATATAATTTATATTAATATTAAGAAAATATATATATAAAATATATATACATATTATAATATATATAATAAAAGATACAAATATCCATTTTGAAGACACAAAAACTTATGTTAATGAATATATGTGAATTAATGCTGTCATTTAAACCAAAAATCATTAAAAAATACACTATAGGGTAAACAAATACTGAAATATAATTTAAAGCATCCTTCAAAATACTAAAAAATAACATCATTATAAAAAAAAATCACTCAAAAAAAATATGATTGATAGTAGGATCAAATTTAGTGTTTTTTTAGTAAAAGGCGAAAAATAGTTCATTGTGCTTCGCGCGACTGCGTAAAATTTAGTGTTATCTTTGTAAGATCGTATTGGTTTTTTCTTCACTACAAAAAAGTCATAATTGAAATTGGATTTGCTAATTATTTTACAAGAAAATCTATGAATGATTAATTATAAACGATTGAGATCTTTTGAACAAAAATTACAAAAACAAGCCACAAAACTTATGTTAAAATATGTTTCAAAACAATGGTGTTCGAATCTTAACCTTATATATACATGTAAACACTCTAGAAAATTGTGGATCAAAGCACTCCTTCAAAATACTACCCTTCCTAGTGCATTGTTACGAACCATTCAATTACTCAGTTATCTTAAGTATCCAATTGACCTTATGCCCCTTAGTACTACATATCATGGTTATTCCTCTTCATATGGAAGGAAGGTATTAGTTCAAATCTTATGGATTGGCGAATCTCGATTAACCAAATTAGATTCGATTGAGTTTAGCTGAACCTCCCCTCCCTTTAGTTAAAAAATATTGAGGTAAAAAATTAAAACTTATATTTTACCGATCTAATAAAGTATCTTTCAATTAATTCTGAGACCAATTCTTATTGGATAGCAAGTCCCTTAGCATTCTTCTACAGAGCAGTCTTTCACTGTTCCTCATAACAGTGGGTTCAAGCAGTTGTTATTATTTTATAGCCAATATTTCTCAAAATATAGAAACTAATAAATGATAAGGAGCTTGGCATCCAATTCTGGAAGCTGGAAAGAACCAAATCAAATCTTGAAGGACCTTTTGATTTTTCATTGAAGCAATGTTTTGCATATTGCTCAATGATGAAAAAGATTGTGAGAATAAGATGATCCAGCTCTCAGCTCAAGGATATCTCCATTTTCTTCCATGGAGATAAAGGTAATGAATATTTTAACATTCTATTGCAAAACTCTTTATTTCAAGATGCTAGATCCTATGAGTATGATATTCCCAAATACAAGATGCATGATCTTGTGCATGATCTTGCTGAGGAAGTATTCAAATTTGAAAGCTTGACGCAAGACTCGGATCGGATGGACGATGGAGCACTTCAGATTCAGCATGTTGCCCGGATTTCTTCCACAACACTTGAAAGATTTCTACAAGGGAGCGTTGGGAGACTGCGGTCGTTGTTTCCTCCACCACACTTTGAGTTCAGTAACATGTTTGAAAGGTTCAGAGATTTACGGACGTTGAATTTATACAAGGCTAAAATAGAGGAGTTGCCCATCTCAATTGAAAGTGAAACCTGAGGTATCTCAATATTTCAAGGACAAAATTAAAGAATAAATCTTTGGCAAATCTATTGGGAAATTATTTGCCCAAGAGAACTTCAAAATTCAGTTATGCCCTTAAACTTTGCCCTACTCTTGAGGGGACCTTACTCTTTAACGGACCTTTTTGCACATCCCTCCGTAAAATTGAGAATTAAAGATTGCAATGGATTCACAAGTATACCGAGTGGGCTCCATTCTTGTACTGGGCTCCATTCTTGTACTAGTCTTCGCACACTATATATCTCAGATTGTCGAAATTTGAGGACTTTGTCGGGTCATGGGCTACAAACCCCCGTCTCTCTTGAGAAGATGGAAATACGGAATTGCCCTAATCTAGAGGCTTTTCCCAGTTTAGACAACCTCACGTCCCTCACTGAGTTGATTATTATGGATTGTGATGGATTAATAAGTCTACCGAGTGGGCTTGCATACTGCACATCTCTTACTATTTTGACTATTTTTCAATGTGATGGATTAATAAGTCTACCGAGTGGGCTTGCATACTGCACATCTCTTACCTCTTTGCGTGTCCATCATTGCCCTAATCTAGAGGCTATTCCCAGTTTAGACAACCTCACGTCCCTCACTAATTTGGATATTTTGGGATGTGATGGATTAATAAGTCTACCGAGTGGGCTTGCATACTGCACATCTCTAACCCGTTTGCGTGTCAGCTTCTGCTCCAATTTGATATCTCTGGCGGACCACAATGTGTCCAGCTTGCAATCTCTTTCCTCTCTATCTGTATTTATTTGTGGGAAATTACAATATTTGCCCAAGGGGCTGCACTCTCTATCTCGTTTGGAAGAGTTGTGTATCGGTGCCTTCTGCCAAGAGCTCGATTCTTTCCCTGATTTTCAGGTCCCATCGAAAGTGAAAAAATTAGGATTGTACGGGTGGCCTAAGCTCAAGTCTCTGCCTCAGCATATTCAACACTCTGCTTCCCTAACTGAGTTGACAATTTGGAGATTCGATGGTCTGGAGGCTCTTCCAGAGTGGTTGGGCAACCTCACATCTCTTACTAAGTTGTCAATTTGGGATTGTAAGAATCTTATGTATCTGCCTACGGTCGAAGCTATGCAACGCCTAACCAAATTACATGATCTAGAGATTTATTCGTGTCCCCGACTGAAAGAAAGATGCGCCAAGGACAGCGGCCCAGAATGGCCAAAGATTTCTCACATTCCATATCTGAGGTAATTTTTATTTTTGGAGCCAATCAATTATCCATGTATATTTTGTTCAAAATTCCTCATTCACTCTCGTTTTCTGCAGTATTTATGATTGAAAAGGCTCTTACCAGAGTGATGACGGAACCTTTCATGAATCGACCATCTATCTATTCACCGTTGTGGGAATCTCAAGTATCTATCGGCGGTAGGGAAGCCATTCCAAATCTTACTGTTGCGTTCTAAATTAAAACAAGCAACAGTCAAGTGTAGGTTTCTTTCCCGAAACAGTAATTCATGATTTTTTCTCTTCTCTTGTCTTAGTTCCATTTGGTTTGCAAATATGTTCTAAGGCATGTTGCGCATAGTTGTTACTTGTTATGGTGCAGATACACTTTTGTACAAGGTTGTGTTTCTTCTCACTGTGTGCAGGTTCTGTGTTGTGTCATGTCAACTAATACAATGCTTGGAAATGAAGGTGTCTAGGCATCCAAAAAGAACTCAAGGCTCAAATGAAGAAACTGGCTCGAATGAAGAAACTTGTGTTACGATTTCACCATACCATAGTTCACCTAGAGTGATTTCCAGATGTTCAGATTCCATAAATGCAGGTTCCATGAAGGCACCATGATAAGGTAGCTACAAACTCTCTCATTCATCCCATGTTCATAACTTGGTGGGTTAAAAATGGGTGTGGGATCTGTTGTGCAGTGAATCAGTGTGGGCAACCTTACATCTCTTACAGAGTTGGAAACTTCCTGGTGTGAGAATCTGATGTATCTGCCTACGGTCGAAGCTATGCAATGCCTAACCAAATTACATAAGCTAGAGATTCAAAGGTGTCCCCATCTCAAGGAAAGATGGACCAAGGACGGCGCATAATGGCCAAAGATTTCTCACATTCCAGTTATCAGAGGTAATTTTTATTTTTGGAGCCCTTATTTTTATTTCCAATCAATTATCCATGTATATTTTGTCCAATATTGTTCACTCACTCTCGTTTTCTGCAGTAAACGGGATATTAGTCAGAATCGGAATCATTGTCACTTGATGATTCAAAAGGCTCTTGCCAGAGTGATGACGGAACCTTTCGTGTGCGGACGATCTATCTTTTCACAGCAGTGGGAATCTGAAGCATCTACAGCAGTGGGGAAGCCGGTGCAATTTTTTCTGTGGCGTTCTAAATTTAAAGAAAATGCAACCTTTCTCACATTTCCGACAGTCAAGTGTAGGTTTCTTTCCCGAAACAGTCATTAACGATATGTTCTGTTCTCTTGTCTTAGGTCCATTTGATTGTTATGGTGCAGATACACTTTTGTACAGGGTAATCTGATCACCAAACTAACACAGTTTTATTAGACCAATTTTATGGAAGGTAATCTGTTTAGTTAATATGTAACTTCTTTCTTCCATCTTTCATCCTCGAATAAAAGCACGTCAAGTTATGTAAAATACGTTAATCAATGATGAAATGGATTTGTATTTCAGCCTATTTAAGAAGGGAATCCAGTAAGAGAATTGCATTAAGAGAGGAGGCAATCCCAGCGCAATGAAAACTTGGACGCGAAAATAGCAGATTTCAGTATGTCCATGGTTTTTTCCAGTGATAATGGGACTCGTGTGGTGACATCAGTCATGGGCACAGCGGGTTATCTTGATCTAGAGTATGTTCAAATTTCCTTGTTCTATTAGATTTTTTATCATGTTATGAATACAAATGTAAGAACAGTTAGTGGTTAATGATTACTTTTTTTTTGGTCTGCAGCATGGGTTTTTTGCTGTGTCGTGTCAACTAACACAACGTTTGGAAATGGAGGTTCCATGACTGCAGCATGGGTTTTGTACGATTTCATCATACCATAGTACACCTAGAGTGATTTCCAGATGTTCAGATTCCACAAATGCAGGTTCCATGACTGCACCATGCTAGGTAGCTACAAACTCTCATTCATCCCATGTTCAAAACTTGGTGGGCTAAAACTGGGTGTGGGATCTGTTGTGCAGTGAATCAGTGTAGGCTACATACTAGTATGTATCTATATTGTCCTCAACTTAATCACTTTTGACCAATACTTCGAGTTGTATCACAGCACATAACCCTAACAGGAACATTGTTTGAAATGCTTTGACTAGAAAATACGTTGGCTTGACCAAATTGCTCTAGTATGAACATTGCATTATCCACGTTTCCAAAAAAAAGAAAAAAACATTGCATTATCCATTGATTGACGTACACTAAGCATCCCCATGTAATAAGGATCATTGTGCAGCATGAGGTTACAAATCCACACTCATACGTTTTTCTGTTTTTTTGGTCGGGACATTGTCACGCGTTTTAAATACCTGGTAGTTCATAGGCTGCAATGAGACAGAGAGATGAAGATCTCAACTGGTTTCCTTGTCCTACTGCTCTGTGCAAGTTTGTTCATGGAGAGTGCCCAATAGGTTAGCATTTCCTTTAACGAAAGCGAATGGCATTGCGTCCTTCAGAATTTATATTTTCTATCTGCTGATAAGTTATTTTTAAATCAGATTCAAGCAAGCTCAAGAAGAATATTGTTGTTGCAATACTTGGATCATTACTAATACTATCAACAATGGCACTCAGAAGGGTCTTACCAGAGTGATGACGGAACCTTTCATGTGTCGACGATCTATCTACTTACCGTTGTGGGAACCTGAAGTATCTATCGACAGTAGGGAAGCCAGTCCAAATTTTACTGTTGTGTTCTAAATTAAAAGAAGCAACTTCTCGACTGGCCCAAGATTTCCCGCATTTCCTACAGTCAAGTGTAGGTTTCTTTCCCGAAACAGTAATTCGTGATTGGTTCTGTTCTTTTGTCTTAGTTGCATTTAGTTTGCAAAGTCTTACACTTTCTAGCCTCGTGGAAGAACATTAATTTCTTTGCTTTCACAATCTTTTTGGAACAGCACTTTAGACTTTTGTGGAAATTAAGTTTTTTAATCCTTAAATATGAGTAAATAGAAGTACATTTGCAACTGTTTACGAATCCGTGGTCATTCTGTATATGTTATAACGTCCAATGTGCATTCGAATATGTTCTAAGACATGTTCCACATGGTGTTATGATGCAGATACACTTTTATGAGACCAATTTTGTGTAAGGTAATCTGTTGAGTCAATATGCACCTTCTTTCTACAATCTTTCATCCTTGAATAAAATCATGTCGAGTTATCTAGAATACGTTAATCACAGATAAATTGGATTTGTATTCCAGCTACACTCAAGAAGGGAATCCAATAGGAGAATTGCATTAAGAGAGGAGAGCAAGCACAGTACAACGAAAACTTGGACGCGAAAAGAGCAGGTTTTGGTCTGTCCATGGTTTTTTCCAGTGATAATGGGACCTCTGTGTTGACATTGATCATGGGCGGAGCGGGTTATCTTGATCGCAAGTATGTTCAAATTTCCGTGTTCTATTAGATTGTTTATCATGTTATAAATACAAATGTATGACCAGTGTGGTTTATTTATGATTGCTTTTTATTGTCTGCAGGTACTATAATTATCAAAGGTTGAATTTTAGAGTTTTACCGGCCAACCTGCAAGGCTGCAATCATAGAAAGTGATGATCTTGTCCACATCGTGGAGTGGGTGAATCCTGAGTTCCAGAATGGTGATGTAATAACTAATTTGGATTGAAGGATTCAAGGAAAGTTCGATGTGAATTCGGTCAGGAAATCATTAAAGACAGCAATGGCATGCACAACTTCCACCTCCTAACATAGAGCCACCATGGTTGGTTTTGTGCTGTGCCAACTAATAAAATGTATGGAATGGAAGTGTCTAAGCATCGAGAAAGAACTCCAGGCTCAAATGAAGAAACTCTTGTTATGATCTCACCATACCAGAGTTCACCTAGAGTGATTTCCAGATGTTCAGATTCCACAAATGCAGGTTCCATGACAGCACCATGCTAGGTTGCTACAAACTCTCTCATTCATCCCATGTTCAAAACTTGGTGGGTTAAAAATGGGGTTGGGATCTGTTGTGCAGTGAATCAGTGGAGGCTAAATACAAGTATGCATCTATATTGTCCTCGACTTACTCACTTTTGTCTAATACTTCGGGTTGTCTCCCTGACTTGTATCACACCACATAACCCTAATAGGAACAATGTTTTAAATGCTTTGACTAGAAAATACGTTGGCTTGACCAAATTGCTCTCTTAGTATGAACATTGCATGATCCATTGATTGACGTAGACTAAGCATCCCCATGTAATAAGGATCATGTATGTACTCTGCAAATTGTGCAGCATGAGATTACAAATCCACACTGTCATATACGTTTTTCTGTTTTTTTGGTCAGGACATTGTCACACATTTTAAATACCAGGTAGTTCATAGGCTGCAATGAGACAGAGAGGTGAAGATCTCAACTGGTTTCCTCGTCCTACTGCTCTGTACAAGTTTCGTTCATGGAGAGTGCTGAATAGGTTAGCATTTTCTTTAACGAAAGCAAATGGTATTGCGTCCGTCAGATTTATATTTTCTATCTGCTGATAGGTTCTTTTTAGCTCAGATTCAAGTAAGTGCAAGAAGAACATTGTTGTTCCAATACTTGGATCATTGCTTTCAACAATGGCCCTCCTTCAAGTTATAGTGCTCTTACTGGTCTGGAAGCTGAGAAGAATAAGAAAACCAGGTACCATTTTATACCCTTGATACTTATTTAGTTAGAAACGGCGCTGCTACTATGGCGTAGTGGTATTCCTATCCAGTTAGTCTGAACTCGTAACTTTTTGTACTTAAGCTGCAGATGGAGAAAAACATAACAAAACACCTGTAGCATCAATGAAGTCCCAGTTTACTTGTGACGAGGTTTTAGAAATCACCGAAAACTTTCAAACTGAAATTGGGAAAGGAGAATTTGGGATTGTATACCATGGCTACTTGGAAGATGGCACTCAAGTTGCGGTTAAAATACTTTCTCCGTAATCAACTCAAGGAGCTAGGGAGTTCCAAACAGAGGTTTGACGGTTAGGATTTTAATTCCTTGGAATTGCAAGAGCCTTGTCTCGTTGGTTAGAGATTGATGTGTTCCTTGTCACTGCAGGTTGAGCTCCTGATGAGAATACATCATAGAAACTTGGCCTCATTTATTGGATACTGTGATGATACCGACTACTTGATTCTTATATTATATACGAGTACATGCCTAAAGGAAATCTAAAAGAATCTCTCTCAGGTATGTAGTTCTATATTTTATAAGCATTGTCCTCCATCAGAGGGTTTCAAAATATTGAAGTGTCACGTCAATGGCTGCAAATGCAGATAGAAGCTCACATGTGACTTGGGAAATGAGACTTCGGATAACACTAGATATTGCGTTAGGTTAGTGCTTCGTGTTATTTCATACGCTAATATATCTGCACAAGTTCATATGCCT